TCATGTTCAGCCTGCCGTCAACAGAGAGAGAGTCGGATGAGACCACCTTGGGTCTTGTCCTGGGCTGGGGGACTCATTTTGAGGGGAGGGAAGCAGAAGGGGAAGAGGAGAAGACAACTTTATGGAAAATCGCCTCAGTGTGCTCTCATCCTAAGGGCCAGAGGACAAGCCACCACCTGATGGCATTCTGTCCATCAGTGGGACAGAAAGAGCCTTTGTATGGCCTACCAAGGAAGCAGAGCAAGAGAGGGGGGGGAGAGCTGTGACATGCGGGGGCTGCTAGGGACAGCCAGCTCTTCCCTCAGGAGACTCTGCTGCAGAGTGCAGCGATGGCAGAGTCCAGGAGAGCCTGCACCCACCAAGTTCAGCCACCACAGCACAGCCTGGAGATCGCAGTCTGTTTTCTGACACTTAGAAAATTCAACACATTTGTACAATTTACAGGAAAAGTTAATCTACCAATAATCCTCTGCATTATTCCCAAACATATTTTTAAACATTGATTTCTTTCATTTATCGAGAAAGTTCCAGAGAAGACTGGGAAGTAAGAGTTTGTAAGGGTGATTTTCTATGCCAGCAAAGAAAACATAACTGTATCTGTAGGCACATAGATTGGATGCCTGAATTTATGACATATGTCAGCCACAGTTTTAGGAACTGGAGATCTGCACTGGAGTGGTATTAAATATACTCTATTCTCACAGACTACCTCTGAAACACACTCTTCTATTTCATTAAAAAGCTCTCTTCCAATATCCTTTCTAATTAGTATGAGCCAGCACAATCTGTCAAGTAAAAAACACAGTATGCAATAAAATGCGCATACCGCCACATTCAAGAAGCAAAATTTAGTTGATCAGTCAAGCATTGCCCTGGCATAAAACTGGAAGGCCTCCGTGGCTTTGTCAGCACAACTTTGATGTGAACTTCAATAGAAAAGCTGAATGATGAATAGTAAACAGGGATTTTTCACCACATGACTGGATGAGTTGTAAGTAAAATACGGAACCTGCAGTACCTGTGTGTGTCAGTAAGAATTAAAATGTTAGTTGGGTTTAAAGTTTCAATAGTGGAACAGATGACTCAATATAGAGATTTTCTTTATATGTTGGAATGTGTGTATGTGTGACAAACCAGCTTCTATTCATCTAAGGATAAACTGGGTTTTCAGACAACTATATACCTTGGGAAGAAAAGTTTGGGTCAACCCCAAATTCAGATGGATAGGCAAGAACTGAAGGACTTCTACCAAAGCAAGTCCCCTACAGTGCAGGCTGAGACCAAACAAATGCACCCTTCAGCACGAGTTAACAGTCTGTTTACCAAATATCTGAGCTCTTGCCCCACGCTTGAAGCGAGCAACAACAAAGAAGTGGGTGAAGAAATTAATTTTAACATCATATTCACACAGGTGAAATTAGCAATATACACTGCACTGAAGAGATTCTAGTCATGATGGATTTACAGCAGTGGGAAGACATCTCAAGTCTAAGCGCCAATGATCTAACATACTTGCTTCTCTGTACTAGTCAACACCTCATGTTATGAGTAGATGCTGATGCAGACTCACCCAGTATTGTAGCAAGAGCAGACAAATCAGACATCTCTGCATGTAAAATATAGAGTAATTATAAAAGTACTTACATATCTGGTTTCACGCCCAGCTGCTCTCTGTAGTGTTGTTGAGACCTTGTACAAAATAAATAGATGTATTAAGAGCAAAAAGTAACTCTGAGGAGTAACTCAAAGACATCTTCATCATTGTAACAAATTATTAATTGCTCAAATTCAAGAAAACTTCGGTTTTCCAGAAAGATTCATGTAACACATGAGAATAAGATATAGTAAAGTTTTGCTTGATATGTTTATTGTAGAAAATACTATTTCATTTTTGCTGCTCAAAAATGTTGATCCCACTCTATTCAGGATAACATTTAAATTATCTCTGAGAATTCTCATAACAAAATGCTTATTAGTAGATAGCAATAGATGGGCTTGCACCATGAAATTTAGGTTACGTTTGCTCACAAAATAACCTGAAATGGCATCTTTCCATGTTCTCATTTGCAAGAACTTTCTTTCATTTGACTAATCCTTGCTATTTCTAAGACATTTACTGATAACACACACTCTTTTTCCTTTCCTGTCTATGACTCTCTTTTACCCTCAGTTTCAGCACTTTACTCTCTCATTCTGAGGTCCTCACAACCTTTACACTGCATCTTGTTAAACTCACATTTTGTCTCCTTTATATGGTTTCATTACTGCTAACAGATACCCTCTGTTTGGTCAAGGCTCAGTTCCCAATGGCCCAAGGCAGTAGGTTTTGGATGCTATAGCTCAACTTAGTAGCATCATTTTAACCACTTCGGATTCAGTACAGGCATCGGAAAACACTCCCTCAATAAGAGTCTTTGCCTGCTTCTTTGGCTACTATCATGTTTCCGTCTCTCAGTTGCCTGAAGCCTGATTCACCACTGCGTGCTGGTTGACAGAAGTAATTTCAAAATGAAAATTAAATTTGAAATGTATCTTGAATATAGCCACTCAGGAGCGCTGGTTCTGTGCCCTATTTTTTGCAAGGTGGACTGGACATTGTGCAGGATATTCTGAATGCCTTAACTTTTTGACATTTACCTCTGCCAAAAGTCCCTTTCCTCCTGTTTTCGGTTGCATTTCTGCTATTTTCACTTTCCTATAGGTACCACAACCAACTTAAATTTACCTGGGGCAAACTGAGTACAGGAACCTCTTCCCTTGGTTAGTCATCCTTCTAAAGACAGAGGGCACATCAGTATAACTTAGTGAAACCAGAATTTTAATATCAGTATAGAAAGTTATCCCTGCCTCTCATATCTGTTTCTGAGTTATCCAGGGTAAATGGATGTAGCAGACATCTACCTCCTGTGAGGGGCTAGAGTTAAAAGGAAATCAGAATTTAAGAGCAAGTCTACTTATTCATTTAATTATCCCATTATTTGAAAACCAATAATGAACATGAGAAATAAAAATATTCTGAAAGATGTTTCCAATCATTGAGGCTAGAAACATTAACTCCTCTGTAGTAAGGACACATAGATGGGACGAAATCTGGGAGGTGGACAGAGACACTGCAATATGGAAGGCAAGGTATGAAGGATTTCTTCCTTGTGGATCCTGGCCTCTGAAGCCTTAATAAACAGGTTGTTTTTCATAATAGAACTTCTTCTGACTTCAAGAAAGCATCCTACAACAAAGACTGCACTGACTCTAGGGCTACGGTTCTGTCCTTCCATGTCTTTTAAACGACCAGACACTTCTATTGATGTTGCATCTCTCAGCAGCAGCTTTCTGTTGCCGTAGGCTCTATTGTGATTTTGCTTGCCTTGATAGCTACCTGGAAAGAGTTCTTGGTCTGTGGGTGGACTTAATCACGTACCTTGCCAACATCTGACTCCATGCTCATCTGCAGAAAACTTGGAGAAGACTCACATCGGCGCTGGAAAATGATTTTCAACAGAGAACAAACTTACTAACGACAAGAGACAAAAGGGAAGGAAGAGAAAAAGTCAGTCCCACATACTGATGGGTTACCATAGTCAATGGGTCCTGCAGGACTTGATCAATGACAGCACACAGATCTTCTGTTTGTTGTCTCAGCTGGGCAGGGGAACACATCTGAAAAAAGGAGGTTGGATCACCCAGTTAACCTTTGCTTTTTGTTTTCAAATAGAGATTTGAAAGACATATAACTGCACTACCTCTGAATGGGTGTCCAAAGCAGTACCTTCAGTCACACCAGTGGCCTTGATTGGCTCTTCTAATGCCTGCAATTCAGAAGATTTTGGTGTTACACTGAGTTCAAAACTTTAAAAATCAAGCAACGACGCACTGTTTGCAATACTGTGTTTCCAAAGGTGGCACTTTCTGTTTCACCATGGAAAGATGGAAAAAGAAGAAATTACAAGCCTAGCAAGGTTACCAACTTCTCATTCTGAATTAGAGGGGGGGTTGCACAGAGGGAGAGAGAGTATGCAAGCTAGGTGAATTGTCTCTACTTTTTGAGATCAGAAACTAGCAGTTTGTCGTCTTCTTTGACAATGCCCCCCGCCTTCGCAGCAAAGGTAACGTGGTGAACGTGCGCTGTGTGTCACCGCAGCATCAGGGGGCCGCCTGCCACACACCACTGGAGCGAAGCCGCTGGCTGTGAGCAGGTGCACAAGGCAGGGGTCCAAGCACACGGGGAGCTCTTTCTTTTCCTCCAGTAGAAATTTTCTTTCAAAAGTGCCTCCTGTTTAAAGAGGATGGTGATTCCACATTGCAACAAAACCAGTGCTCAACAGTTTGGGATTTTAGCCTGAAATCAGAAATGTATAAAGTGAAATATGTGCTATACATATGTGATATCATGCTAAGCAGCTATGCAGTCTCTCCAAAACAAAGCACAACTTCTCGTGCTTGGATATACCTCCCACTCTCCTACACCCACACTTGGAGCAGGTTTGAGAACAGTGGGAATCAGTTTGCTGATCCCTCTGTTTTATCAGGAAACTCACAAAACACCCTCAAAAGCCAAAATCTAGTGCTCGTTTCCCTTTTCATCTTCAGCCAGAGTCTGTGAGGCATGGTCTCAGTGCCATCACCCATTTTTGCTTTGAAGCGATTTTCAAATAGACTCCGTGCCGAGACCAAAAATTAGTCTGGAAGCCTGCTGAGCTGTGAAGCTGGACTACAGGGGAGGGACCCGCAAGGTTTGTGGATTTTTTTGTTAAACATGTTATGTTTTTCTGAAGTTTCAGTTTGTTAGTTATTTGAAAAAAAAACAAATGGTAATAAGGGGGGGTGGGGGGGAAGGCATTCCAGTAAAGCACGTTTTCATGCGTATGGCATGCTGTGCGAATGGACTGATCCCAGTGAGGTGGGTATGAGATTGCCAGTCACAGAAGGCATATGTGGAGCTGGAAGGAAAATGGCAGAATCTTTAAAAAAAGGAATATAAGCATATGATTAAGTAATTATTTCTGAGTTTAATTTTGCTGAGAACATTTTTTTTTCTTTCCTTGTCCAGCTACTGGTAGCATACATCTATGCACGTGTAACTGAAAAGTTAATGACAATTTGCTTTTAATATTATTTTAATACCATCCACAAATACTTCTGCACAGAAATGCATTTATGGAACTCCACGTCTTCTATCAGAGAGTACAGTAAGAAAACATGAAGACTTGTTTCTTTCCAAATAGATTTGTGTGTCCCCCCCCAGCTCTAGACGAACCTGTTGGCCTTAGAGTAATTGTACTTAAAAGGGGAAAAAATATATTTTTTACATACAGAAATTAATGTAATATTATCCCAATATAGAAGATGAAAATATAAATAGTCTTTCTCATCTCTGCTGTCTCATCATTGTCACCCAGCTAAATTCTTGGATCAACAGACAGTCCTGTAGAAGAGGAAGGCTCAGCTAAAGAGAGCTTAGCACTACACTTGAGTACTGTGTACCCAATTCAGCTTCCATTGGGATTATGTGCTCCTGGTAAACAGAAAATGAAGTGATAAAATGAAGTAAAAGAGTCATTCCAGTATCTATCAGGGCTAGGATTGCCAAAGCAGCCTGTTGTAGAGAGATGACGAGTCTGAATGTGAGTTAGGAAAACCAACAAATTTTAATCAGTCATGGATTTGGAATGGAGAAATTGCTAAGCTTCTGAAAACCCCCAAGAAACCAGAAGGGTAGTGAACATAATGAAGTAATTGTTAAGAAAAAATACATGTTTCTGTTTCATATTCACTTCACCAGAGCAATGGGAGAGGGTGAACACAATCAAGGGTAAGAAGCAACTACCCAGAAGATACGGAGGAATCTTTCTAGAAGAACTACAGCCACATCCACAAGTCTCTGTTCAGAACCAAGACTCTGGATAATCTGAGTACCAAACATCCATCAGTTTCAGTAGAAATTAGGCACCCAAATATCTCTGCATTCTGGAGCCTTCATTGATTAAAAAACCCAGGTGAGCACAATACTAAGGTCTATGCGCTTCACAGACCCCTGAGATATGGCCATCATGTAGGAGCCATGCTAGAGAAAGCTGCAGTGTTCTTCTCCCTTTTTGAACATTTGGGGAAGGAAAATTTTAATCTTCAAAGTGATCCATCTAATTTCTTTCATTGTTTTATCTCTTTTTTTTTTTCTTTTTTTTTTTTTTTTCCTATCTGAACCGCCCAAGTCTTCCAAAGAAAGAAAAGAAGCAAAGAGAACTAGATTTTAGGCATCCCTGTCACCTCTACAGAGAAAAAAAGGTTCTGTTTAATCTCTTATTAGTTTTTCAAAATACAACTCAATCTATTTCCAGCAGTGCCTTTTTTTTTACATTTCTGTACAGAGAAAAATGTGAGATTAAAAAAGTATGACTAGTGTTTCTGAACTCATTACTGTAGTTATCACACAATAATGTTATGATTAATTTAAAGCATTAGTGTTATCTACAGTACTGTTGATTAGTGCTATCAACAGCATTCAAGCTTCACTTCCTATGCTGATGGTCTAACAATATTAAAAGCGGAACATTCCTACTTAGGCATTCAAATTTTTTGATTATACATGAAAAACAACAGTGGGACCACAATTTAAAAGAAGAGTGCAATTTAGAGAATGAAAATGTATTTGTGACAGAATTTTAATGTTCAGATGAAATAACCAGTTGCTGAACCACTAATTTTTTCCTTGCAAAGGGCAACTTTGGGCGTGTGATGCATATATGTAATTGACGTCAGTGATGGCTACAACCCTTCCCTCCTCTTTCCATCAAGCTATTTGATTGCTAAAGCTGTATCAGAGCTGAAAGGGTACTGGCAAATTATTCAAACAGGATCTCCAATATTTCGTTAGAAGACCGAAAGTTCTTGGCAACATATAGGAAATATAGAACATTGTTTCATCCACCAATGAATCACACCAACAGTAGAAGAAAAAACACATATTGTAACCAGAATCTGACACAGCTTCTTTCTTACTGTATTGTGAAAACCCTGGGCTCAGCAACAGTCAAGAAGTTTCCTCTTCTTTTATTTCTCTTGCATATTTTTCCCATCACTATCTTTTCCTAAGCCCTCAGCAGATGCAAAAATATCCTTCTGTATAATGGAACTTCACATACCATGAGGTCCTTTAACTTCTTCCTTGGAGATCCTGGGAGATGATACTGAAAAGACCTGATTACTTTTCCTCTTATAAAATAATAAATACTAAAAACTGCAAGGCCTTTGAAAGAAAGAGGGAGCTCATAGCCTGCTCCTACAGCTGGGTCTCCAATGTAGCAGATCACTGCCATATTTCCTCAGTTGAATTTGTTTCTTTTAATGAAAAAAAAAAACAAAACAAAAACAAAAACAAAAAAACCACCCTCTTTTTCCTTCTGCATAAGGAGGAAAATGCTTTTTTTTTTTCCTTTCTTCTCTTTTCCTCCACAAGGAGAATACTTCCCTGCTGGCATTCTGCTGTGTAGGTGATGGGATGCAATTATTAGGTCTTTGGAGTTTTCCTAGAAGCGTAACATCATATGGAAAGACTGTTTTAGACTTTCTTGAAGTTAGCCAAACTACATTGTGATGAGAGAAAATGTGAAGAACAATCATAAAAAGACAAAATAAATAACCTAAAATATTTATTCTTTAAGACAGAAGATTTTTTCTACATTTAATTAAAATTCAAATTTTAGTTCTCTACTTGTAATTAGTTAATCAATACAAGCCAGATAAGTCAACAGTGCTTTCATTTGCACCTCTTCCATCCATAGCCAGTTATACCTAGTGCTTTTCAGAAGATTTACTAAGTGTGGGATAAGCCTTGACTGTGAAGCAGGTGTGCTTCATGGCACACTCCACCATCCTGGTCTCACCAGAGTTCAGAGTGGGGGAAGTCTGAGTAGAACATTTGCAGTGTCCCTTCCCCTCCAAGTCTGTATGCCCAAGTTTCCTTCCTATCAAAATGACGCCCACAGAAGGGAAGTTCAGCCCAATCAGCATGCAGAGGGGGTGTGTATCTGGACAAACACCAGAAACCCAAATTCCCTTGCATAGACCTTGCGGTAGGCCAAAGACCACTGAATTCTTACGAGAAAAATTTTGGTTTGCAATTCCAAGGTGTCCAACAGTTTTTGGATTACATCTAAAATTTTAGATACTTCTGAAGATGAAGTAGGATGTGGTTTAAGAGACGGTCTGCTTAAAGTTAAGAATTTTTTTGTAACTCCCTGAAATAAACTCTATATCACTATCTATTTTGACTGAAAGATATTTTTTATAGATGCTTGATAAATACAATCTCTAAATAATAGATGCATTACTTTTTAAATACTATTTCATTAGGAATGGAATTTTGAATTAGGCTGTGATCAGATCATGTAACTGTAGAAGCTATACAAGAGTGAGTGTCAGTAGAAGAGTGACCCACTGACCCAACACTGACAAGGCCAAAAGGAACCACAGTGATCATCTAATCTGACCTATTCTTTAAACGACAGAACTGCCTGGAATTACTGTATGAAGTGCCAGAAAAGTGTCCTGTCTTGATTTTCCCATTTCTGTGATAAAGAGACCATTTCAGTCTCCAGAAATTTTTTCTAATGGTTAATTCATTCTTTCTGTTAAACTTTGCCTTATGCCTACATTAAACTCGTTCAGCTTCTTCTTCTAGCCAGTGGATCCTATCATCTGCTGGACATCATTGTCACAGTCTGTGGACCTGCGCTAGAAATCTGTGTGGCTATGACGGCACTGCTGACTGACCATGGTTACCACCACCTCATTGGTGCTCCCTGACAGAGCCTGACCATGCTGAGGGTAAGTCCCTCAAAAACAAGTTTTTGCTCTTCTGGCAGTGAAGGGAGTTACAGCCCAATCTTCCAAGAATCCTGGATTGGGCCTTTTCTGAGGAGAGCGCAGGTGACGTGAGGAACATCAGGTTCATACAAAGTCCAAGAGCTGGAAAGTATGCCAGTTATGAGATTTGAGGAGATTAAGTCACTTCTGGGGTTGCTAAAGTATACACATATATAGTCAATAAGCCTTTTCTTCTCTGCGAATGAGCACAGATTTGAACAACTCGCTTTACGTAAGAGTACTGGAAGACAAGAAAAACATGTTCTAGAAAAACTATTAAGATGATGATTATAGTCTAATGGTTTCATAAGAAGTAGTTGAAAAATGCTGGGTGAAATTAAAGCATCTACACACACATGAAAGAAAAAAATTACTTGAGAAAGAAAATTAGACACAAGGAGACAATTTAGAGGCAGACAAAGAATTATGCCTTGCATGATGTATCATTGACAGTTTTCTGTCATGGGATCTAATCAATACTGCATATGAATTGTCACTAGGATCACCCACATCACAGTTCTGACTAATCTTATTTCTCACGACCACTCAAATTAAGCAATATGATTACTCACACAGTGGAAAAAGTTGACTTCTGAGAATGTGCATTTCCAGTTCAACTGCATAGCAAAACACTTTGTTAGCACTTCAGGCAGATGATGTATTCCTAATCATGCATTCAGCTCAGTAATATCTGTGCCTTGCAGATATTACATCCCTTCCTTTCTTAAAAAAAATGCCACTCAAAAACTTCTTCTCCATACAACCTAATGTTAATAAAACATCACTTATGCAGTTAAAATCTCATTGACTTGAATCTCTCTCTTTTTGTTAAAAAAAAATGCATAAAAACCATTGCATAAAATGGGAGCAACATAATTACTGTCATCGAGCTGCAATGTAGCATGAGTTCCTTCCCGGTTCCCTCCTCAGGATTTTTGAGGAAAATACTTGGATACTAAGGCTCAGTACAATGGGCCTCTGTGTGCCATGGGACTCCTTCACGCTTCCTTGAAGAGTCGTACTCAAAATGCATGTCAGCTAACACAATAGGACTAGCTTAGGAGCACTGTAATTAGCTGTCGGTACAGATCAATAGGAGACTATTATCCATAATTCCCAAGATGAGAGAAAGTATGTAGTCAGGCCATGCTGAAACATACATTTTACGAAGTAAATTAGTCAAGAGTCTCTCCTGAACCCAAATTCTGCAGCAGAAAATTGATTTCTTATTAGTTTTACATGACTGTGATTTTGCTACTGAAGGATAATACACCAAGGCTAGCATTTCCAACAAAGTGGTGGATAACCAAAAGTCTATCTAAACACAGATATCCTTTGAGCCTTACTTTTTCTACAGATACTGGCATTAGATCGTACAATTCAGTTTTATGTGTTGGGAATAAGTAACATGCAGGTTATGAGTCAATACCTTGGAGACCATCAGCGAGGCCATCAAAAGGAATCCCCTTTCTTCTGAAAAAGTGCAGCCAGATGGCTGACATTAACCCACTAGTTCACATCAGGAGTGTGCTCTTAGAGTGAATATCCTGCTCAAAGTCACCTACTTGGCTTATTTGCAGAGTGGTGCAGGCTTAGAGTGCACAAACTGGACGCCCTTCAGATGAAGTCAACCATGAAGTGTCACTTAAGGAGTCCACCAAATGCTTCCAGCCTCTAACAGGCACTCTGCCCAAACAAAACCCTCCCATAATACATTCTGGGGTGTAGGATCCCCTGCATCAGCTATTTACCTCTACAGAGCCGTTTCTATTGGACCACGTCGAATGCTGAAGCAGACATGACCTTCATTAGTGCATTCAAGATTTAAGTAGGGGAAGGATCAGGTTTTATGCAAATTATTTAAAAAATCATTCAAGATTAAAAGAACATTGGAAAAGAAAGGAATGTCCCTTTTTTTAAAAAAAATAAATCTTATTTGTAGCAGTTAACTGAGAACTACTAGATCACAATCAGTAATATTTCAAGGACAAAAATATCCTCTTCAAAATTTTTGCTCAGTTAAGTTCAGCCTCTCCAATGTTTTTAGGCTCTGCAAACTTCTAGTGAAATCAACTGAGCTGTGTATGAGACTACATATTTATAAGCGTAGTTAGGAATGCTTAATCTTACAGAAATTAATCAGAGGCTAAGTTCCTGAACTAGGTCCCGAACAGAAAGATTTTTCTGATAAAGCTATAAACTGGATGTCAGATTGTCAGAGTGATTAAGCATGTCTTTAAATAACTAAGACACTTGGCTCATTGCGTATCATAGAAAATTTTGGTTAAACTTAGTGCGCTATCTTTTTGTGCAAAACTAATTTGGAAAAAAAAAATTTAAAAATAGACATTGGTGGGTATTTTGAACCCTTCAAGCAAAACTTAAATTTTCAATTGACTTCTAAACAAGGACTATACAATCCAGCCTTTGGTGGTCATGTCTTTGGTAGTAAATAAATGCACTAAAGGCTGTTCTTGGAATCTATCATTCTCCCCTATAGAAGAGGATTGTTACTCCAGACTATGTACTGGGAACGGAACATCTGGCCCATGCTAACTGTTAAAGTGCTCAGGGAAGTTGTTTCGGGGAATGGTAGCTAACAGAGGTGAGTGCAACGGCCAGGATTGTTCTCACAGTTTAACAATACAGCTGGTGAAATTTGCGTATCTTGGGATGTTAAATTCACTAGTATAAGCATAGACATTGAATAATCATTAACTGAGCAAGACCTGCTGATTGGTAGGTCCCAGAAGAGGAGTGCTCCAGACACTTTCCAGTAACAAAACAGATTTTGAGATGTTGCCATAAATGGCAATTCCTTTAGGACACTTTTTTTTTTTTTTTTACAGTAAATTTATTTGCAGAACTTCAGATTAGTGAAGGTTTTGATCTTCAGTGGAAAGTGGTTGACCCTGAAAAATAGTTGGAATTATAATCCTGAGCAGTTAGTTCCTAGAGTTTACATTCTGCAATATCCCCCGCAGAAATGTCAGAGTATGTACATAAAGTTGAATGGTCTCAAATATACAACGCAATTCTCATGTCTTTGAGCAAACACTAACCTTCTGTTCCATAAGTAATGTGTTTGTAGGGATTGCTGCAAATGCCTTGTAGCTTGTCTTGATCTTGTATTGCTAAAAGGGTAAATCAGAAAGCAGGAAGAGAAGTAAAACAGGGTAGAAGAGGGAGAAGGAGAGAGGGGGAAGAGAGGGGAAAAGTATGACAGAATGAAAGACAATTCCAATTGTCTTGCAGACATATTGCAACAATACAATGCTTACGTACTACCTAGGAAAGCTATTTGTTAAAGAAAATCTAGTATTTCTGTTAAGATTTTAAAGGACTGTAACATACATCTTGTGCTTTTAGGAATGGAGTAGGATGAAGTGAATTCCCTGTACCAGCTTATAATTTCCAAAGTGATTTTGACAACTTTCTGCCAACTATTATCCTTAAATGAGTATCAGGAGAGGCTGTGAGCTTTTTCCAAGTTTGCTTGTGATTTGATTTGATAACGCACAGCTGCTTCTGCCAGTACGTACACCGCAACAATGGCTGCTGTGTGGTGTGGTCCTGGACCACTAAGTTAGAGGGATTTCTGTGATTTGCTTTAATGAGACTGATTAGGATCCTTAAATGCTGAATTACTAGCATGAGAGAATAGATCATTTAAGTCACATCACAGTTTTTCATTTCCTGAATAAGTAACTCTACCACCCAAACAAATATTTCAAAACAAGTATAGGAACTTTCACACTTTAACAAAGCTTACGTAACTGACGATCTAAACCATACAAAATGCATGTGTTTGGGTACAAAAATTCTAATATCAGCCTTCATAATTATTCTTTTTAAACATTTTATATTTTAGACTATATTAGCTTGCCCAGTTAATTTTAACTGTTAGAAACCATAGTTTCTACATTTTCTTTGTAATTATGGACGTTGAATTAAGTAATTTTTAAATGATTGATGAGATTCTTCTATACTTACATGAGTTCAAGAGCTAGGATTCTTAATCACATGACTGCTGGAATTTTTTTTAAACAATTAAATAGGGATTTGCTACATTGTTCCCTTTTCGGTAACATTTTAATAAAAAAAAAATCATAAATTCACACAACAATAGAGTTTTCAGTTATTTATTGGTTGTTCCTGTGATAGTCACTCAGAAATAAAGTTATTTGTTAATCAATTCAGGTTTTTTAATGTACTGTTGTCTGCAACAGTGAATACTGGTGATTATGAGATACCAGACTGAGCAGCATACTGTACTTTGGGTCATTCTTTCGTCACTTTTTCCTTTTCCTTATGTCTAACAGAAGTCTCCATGACAGCAGAGGGGCCAAAATTTTAATTCAGATAAGAGAAACTTATATCATCCTCACACCTCTTTTGAAATATTGCAGGACATTATTTTTGTATTCTTTTAATTCTTTCTCTATATATTCTGTTTGTTTTCGACGACTTAGATTTCTTAGAAGTTGGAGACTGACAGACATTCAAGAAGTCAATAATCACAATAATCATATTGAATGAACAATCTGACAAAGAAGATGAATGCAAATGCTGGAATTGCACTTTCTTTTCCTTTTTTTTTAGGGGGGGAATGTAGTAATTTAGATGAGATTTAGTGATTCTAACTTGGATGTCTACCATCTAGGTAGTAAGAACTAATGCCTTTTATAGTCATAGACATTTCTACAGGACAATTCATCTCATCCCGAAATAGGCACCTAGAAAGGTAAAATAAAATCATCCTGTAAATAAACTATATTCTTTCTGTTCGCTATAATAGAATTGCCCAAGTTGTGCTTGGATATCTAACTTTCAAATGTCAAAAATCACGTGAGTTGAATCCTGCCCTTTGAACATTTAGACAGCAACACTCTACTATAAATGTGTGTACATTCTTATATATATTCATGTATGTACAAAGTCTATATGCAGATAAGACATAAAATACTGCTTACTGAAGTAAGATGGAAGACCAAAATTCCAAATATTAAAATTGCATATCCACAAAATGTAACCTTGTTTACTTATATTTGATATTCAATCAAGAAGATTATATAATTGAACATGTAAATGAAATGCAACGTCTCTACTAGCCCATCGGCTTTTCCATATGATATGGACACCATATATAACGAGAATACTGTGATCACTCTGAAGTTAGTTGTACTGTTACATGAACTAAACAAAGACATGTCAGACTGTTAAAATGTAAAAGTTTCTATACCACTTTGATGTGCTTTATCACTTCCAGGTACTGTAGAACCTGTAAGCAATGTGCTATTGTCACAGTGTCTGAGATGAGTGGAAAGTCTTTAATTCAGTTTCTCGTCTATATGAATACATTTTGTGACACATTAGTTCATGTTGCTTAAAATTATTCTTCAATGCCTAAATACATTTAATAATCTGTTTCATAGGAATCTAGCAGTATTTTTAAACAGCCATGGACAGTTATGTCTGCTGGCCTGCACCATGGTCCACTCAGAAGCAAACCAACCTCAATATCAAATCTTGGGCAAATATCAGCCTGGGGAGTTTTAGGGAAAATATCTACTTTCCTTGCTCAAATGATTGACTAGGGCACTCACAAGGAGTTGCAAAGTGTGCTAGACACATACCTATAAAGGCTGAAAATCAGTGACTAACCATGGTAGTGTAGAGCTCCTCATGAGTAGTGTTTCCTGCTTTGTGGTAGGCTTTGCAGCTGTGCTGAGCTCCGTGTTGCTACAGTTGGTTTGCTCCCCAGCTGTTTTGGGTAGATCTACATGCATTCCTGTGCTACATTCAAATTGGAAAAATCAAAGAATATGTAGGAATGATACCCCATGAAACCACTGCAAAGAGTTCTCAAACAACAGCCACAAGTTTTTATCCTAATCTGTTCCTGTAGAATCAGCAATTTTATTTGTCTCACTCCATCCTACTGTTCATTTTGCTATATTAGGTCCATGAGGACGCTATTAAAGTGTCTGCAAGTCCAGGGAGAGGGTTTTTATCTCCTGTGGTCACCCAAAGTTCATGCTTCACACTGATCTATGTATTTATGTTTATATTCACTTTGCAAAACAGTCATATTTTTAAATCGTTGACGAACATAAAGATAAATAAATAAAGCATAGGAAAGCAGATCTGTTTATATACACAAATGCAAACTGTTAAATAAGTTCATAGGTTATTCTTTGATTTGCATGAATTAGTGCCTGCATAGTCATAGACATATAAGAGCTCTCCATTAAAGAATCCTTTTTGCATAATTGCTTTGATATCATGCTAATGAAACAGTTTGATGTAAATACTGAAAAGTACACCTAATGTCAGAATTCAGATTTAATAAATGTTGGTTTAATACGTGTCTTAACGTTGCTTCAACCACTGTTGAAGCAACATTAAGGTTGAAAAATTACACATGCCAGAGTCAAGCACTTCTAGGTGTTGTGCTTTTCTCTTGATATTCACTTAGCACATTCATACATGCAAAAATTTTGTCATGCATCAGCAGTCATCAGATGGAGCAACCTGCTTTTTATCTAGTTCTAAAGCTGAGCTGATTGATACTAAAGAGACCTAAATGCTGCTTAGGATGTTAATGTTGTCTTTCCTCGATCTTTTCCTTTTTTCTCTGGAAATATACTGAGATTTGAGGCTGGAGTGTTGTCAGAGAGCCTGGTACCATTAGCAGATCGGCAAAGTTCATTGAGCTATGGCGTAAACTACATATGGAAATAAATGAGAGTAGGAGGAAAGGGTGGTGTTGAATGCACACCGTTATTAACTGTAAATTAAGTCTCAGCCTCACATTTTAAAGCCACAAAAGAGCTTTTGTGCACTGAACACCCAGCTGCATTTGATTTAAAGATTTCAGGTATTCTACTTACTCAGTGGAGCCAGCTTTGTCTGCATGATTAAAAAGTGCACCAGACTAAGGTCCAAGTCTTTTAAACTGGTGGACACTATCCCAGCCTCCATGGGGTGACGGGGCAATTTCAAAAGTGCCATCATATTGCATGATAAAGTGGAATTAGCAGGAAAAGGGACAGTAGGGAAGACAGAAAGGGTGTAATAACCTCGGCTAATATAAACCCAGGCGATAGCTGTGTGTCACAGCAGAGAGTTTCCTTACCGCCAGAGACTCTCACAGTGCTCATTGCACTGACTAGCAGAAACCAATTGCTTTGCAATCTGCAGGCTCAGTCATGCTTTCCAGTTTTGTCTCGGGGGGCTTTTTTCTTGGAATTTCTACGATTTCATTTCTCCTTTTGTTTCAGTAAGTAATACTGACAGGGTGTAGCGACACTGTACAGCTGCGCTTGGCACAACAGTTTCTCTTGAGTTGTTGGTTTTTAAAAGAACCATTCATGACAGTTGCTACTTTGCGCTGATTTAAACCTCTCATTTTCAATTAACATTTTCCAAGCAGTTCAAGTCACCCCTGCCATGGCCAAGCTGTTAGGAACACATCTGACACAACTCGATCTGACAGACCAGGCTCTAATCTTGCTCTGTGAACAAATAAATCAATAAACTATGATAGCCTCACGGTGATGAGCAAAGCTCAGATATCAGCAAGAGAAGGCACAAAGGAAGCACAGAGTGCAGAGATAAGATAAAAGAGGTTGGAAAGCCTTCTGCAGCTCTGATGTCTTCTGCCACCAGCTCTTCCTTTTTGTAGAGCAGTTCCTTTGGTTTTCACCTACCTGCCACATGTTTTTTGATCAGCTTTCCTTTCCTTCCTCTTCCTAGTCTTGAAATTTGTCTATCTTCAGGTTTAAAGTGTGACTGGTTCCCAAGCCCTCCTACAGTAATCACCGTCATTGCTTATTCTCACCCTGCTTGGTCTCCCTCGCTTTTGGGTGGATGACATATAGCAGGAGTGTGGTTGATCCGTCACCTGTGAGACTTCTATATTTGCAGTAGCTCATGTGATTGGAAGCTTGGCTTTTTTTTTCCCCCTTTATCTAGCACGACAAGATCAGAGAAGTACCAAAGAAAGGGAAGAAGCAGGAGACTGCCCTTGTCTTCCCTCTCAGGCTCTTGGCCACAAAGTCCCTGCTTAGGCTGAGCTCAGCCATGTCTCTGGGCTGGTCTCAGAGAGGCTGGGGTGAGTAAAGCCTCCTGGGGGGTGGGGAGGGCAGGCGGGACAAAGCGCTTGGGAATCAATTGCCACTGGAAGAACCAGCTCACATCAATCAGATTAAGCTGCTTCTAGCTCAGCCTTGCACCTAAAATCACCATACTTCTATTCTTTTCAGTGGGAATACATGTGGATTTACATTAGCATGGGGTATATAGAACATGGTTTATGGTTTATTTTTGAGACACCAGTGTTTTAGGTGAGCTTCAAAAATAAGTGTACCAAATGTATATCAGAGCCACTGGACACAAATCCATCTTCAGTAGTATCTCCTCCCACTCATGAATAAAGTATTTTACTTTTATGCTAAAGGATTCCTGCAACATCTTGCCCATAATACAGAACACATTGCTAGCAATTTGATATGGTAGGATTTAGTCTTGGCTATCTTCACTATCAATACAAAAACTGTTTCTTTTTAAGCATTTTTTCCATAGCTCATTTATTTCACTAGCTTTGTGCAACATAGATGTGATTTTTCCTACAGGGACAAAGTACTACTAGAAAATAAGCATGCACCAAGAATACCTTGGGTTTGATGTTTTCATGGTCAGGAGGCAGGGCAAAAGACTGTGGTGAAGTCAGCTCTCTGGGTCTTGATGGCAGTGTGCCTGGTGACTTGTCTGAGACAGGAGATCTGCACTTTAACACCGGTGAGGTGGCAGATTGCTCAGGTCTTGGAGAGGAGGAATTAGACCTATAATTTATGTGCACCAATGAAGAATTAAGCTGCAGTGGTTGGGAATAAATATTGCTAGTTTGTGGAATCGGTGGAGTAGAATGAGGCCGTGAGAAAGAGCACTGCTTTGAGACACTTGAAGAGGTAGGAGAGGAGGCACTCATCTCCTGAACAGACATTTGGGATGAATCTGATTTCGACCTAGAAGCTGAATGTGAAAGACTTGGGGAAGGAGATGAGTGTTTTTCTAGGGTGGGGGAGAATACGCCACTAAGACTAGTAGAAGAAAGCAAAGGATATGACCGACAGGTAAAGATGGGTGCGTAAGTGTGCACTCTCTGAGACTTCTGAGGTGCCTGGGACCTGGAGAGAACATACCGCAGCCCTTCTGGGGAAGGGGAGGTCGGGTGTGCAAGTGAAGAGGGTGCTGGGGCACAAGGAGGAAGCAGCATAGGTTGCAAGCCTGGAGAGGTAACTGATTTTCTATGAGAGGAGACAGGGGATGACAGAGGACTTCGGGAGTCTGGAGAAAGCGTTTTGACTGGATGGTGCTTTTTAGGAGAAAGAGACCTCGCCCGAGGGGTGGGATAAAGCTTGGAGGGTAGAGGCAGATGCTGAGCCCGTCCTGGAAGCCAATATTCCTCTCTACTGGGAGAACCTGGCCTTATAGGAGGGCTTGAAACAGATTTCCTCAGGGTTGGGGGAGATGATTTGGACTTTTGATCTATTGCGAGTGTTGAAGAACCAAGGGAGCTAGGAGAAAATGTGGGACAAGAAGCAGGAGAAAGTGGTCTCCGCTGAGAAGAACCTGATCTCAAAATAGCAGTTAAGAGGGTCAGTCTGGTTGGCAGAGGGGATCTGACTCCTGACTTTGCTAAATTTCCTCTGGATGACATTGTGCAAGGCTCATTTATACTACCTATGGTTGAAGAGGAGCCATAAAGGGAGGGTGGAGACAAAGGTTTAGGGCTAGGAGATAATGAATGTGTTATTATATGTACAGGGACAGGAGATAAAGCATTCAATATTTTGGAAGAACTAGGGGATGAGGACTGAACTGAAGATCCTTGAATTTCAACTGAACATGGAGGATTGGGGGAAAGACTTGGGCTCCTTCCTGGAACAGAGGATGTGATGAAGTTTCCCATTTTGCAAACACAGCCAGAGGTATAGGCACTTGGTGTTTGCAGGTTATCATACAGTCGAGGAGTGGAGTAACAACTGTTTGATGCAGAAGAGGATATTTTAGACATGGAGGGAGGTGAACTACGGGAAGCAGACTGAAAGTAGAGAGATGAATCTTGCTTAGAAAACCTGGTTGCTGACTGCCAGTTGTTACGGGAGTCTTCCAGCGAAGAGGCTTGATTCAGGTTAACCATGGCACCACATGCTACTTTCTGATTAACTGGAGAAATTAAGTGGACAGCAGGTGGTTTAGAGGAAAGATGATCAAAGATGGAAAGAGTAGAAATTAACTGGAGAAAAAAGAAAAACAGACATGTTAATATAGGTGGATAAAAGAAAAACAGACATGTTAATACAGGTGGAACTTGTGTAACTGTTAAGTATCCCACATTTCAGTCCTGTGGTCATGCTTATAGTGTTTCCATTAGTACTGCTCTGTGGGTTAAAAGCACAGGGCTGTCTTAAACTTGGGGATATAGTCTGATGGATAAGGCTCTCAGGGTAGGTGACCAAGTGCAGACAAGTTATGTGCTACTTTATGAGATCTCAGTTTTGTTGACATAAACAAGGTTCAAGGCTACTGTATTTTTCATTTTAGGTGAGACCCGAGTCAGTTATGCCATCAGTGTCCAGAATCATGTAATGCCAGACACATTGTATAATCACAACAGAAAGTGAGAACATTGCAATATTGTCCCGTCTCACTTTATCAGTTCAGTGGAAAGTAGCCTTTCTGTAAATGAGAATTAGGTCAAGTACCCATTTTCTTCCTCAGTAAAAAACACCTTCTGCAGCACTGTGATATCAGAGTAAGATATTTGCTCAGAACTACTTTAATCAGACATCCAGTTTGTTTTTCACTTTTCTTGTCATTCACAGAGCAGTGCATTTGACAGTTTGCAGGCATATAAGAGTCCTTATCCCCTTTTCCACAGTCTTACAATACACTAATAAAACAGTAATGAGCTCTTTCACGAGTGCCTTTTTTTCTTAGGTCTATTCTAATTAGGATTTGTCAAAACTAATTAGAGCATACAAGTATATTATCAACCTTTTATATAGTTTTATGCTTTGAAAGAAAGAAATTCTCTCAAAATCTTCCAAGTTATTAAAATGCTGAAATTCAAAACTGGGGTATACACAATATGAATAAACGTATCCATATGAAATAGTAAGTTAAGTCAACTGTAAAACCAAAAGGCTACAGATTATCATCTACCTTTTGACTGAGCAATTTGAAAGCTGGGAAATTGATTCTAATCTGTACAAACTTCATATAAATCTAAGAACATCTATTTATCTACTGTTTGATACCCTGGAAAAATTATACAATTCTGTAAAAGACAATTATACCATTCAGTTCTACATACGTGACTTGCACATGCCTGTGGCTCAGTTTATGAATTGTATTTTTTAGTACAAATGCTTTCCCCATGAGAAAGAAGAATTACCATTATGATTATTACAATTATTGTTATTATGTCATATAGTATAGATATATATATATATAAAAAAAAAAAAAAAGA